GTTTTTGGCCTACACTAACTGCTGAAGGAACTATCTTGCTCTTCATCTGCTAAATGCTGAAGAGTCAACACAAGACAACACAGCGCACCAGATAGTTGGTCTATTTGCTATTTGGTTTTGTGTACTGTAACTAGCATGCAATGGGTTAAGTCATTAAAATATTCTCACAGTGTATTTCAAAGCAATTATGTCAACACAATGCTACATTATTCTGAAAAGAAACTTTATAGTCTGAAAGGTTAAAGTACCTTTGGTAATGGAAATATAAATACTCATGCTGGTTAATACTCATGCTGTCTATGTATTTGTACTGCTTAACCTTATGTCTCTCTTTTGCTCTCCCAGACATTCCACACAGGTTCAGCCTCTACACACACATGCATACTTCATATACACACACATCCAGTCTCAACTGCCACACACACACACAAACACACACACACACACAGCCTGTTGCATACAAAGCCTAACTGTCTGGGCCCAGCTGTTTCATCTTAAAGATACTGTACATAGTGAAGGACACATACCTAATATACGTCTGATTGGTTCCAGCTAGTGGTGTGAAAGGTGACCAGTGTTACTTCTTTTCTTTTGTCACTCACTGACTTTTTGCACTGAATGTGTGCACTTAGGGCAAATCAGTAGCAAAATGAAGTATTCACTTGCTTTCTTTCTCTAATGGGTGTGGTGGAGGGGGGGGGGGGGGGGGGTGTGCACCTAGCATTGCGAACATTACGGGGACTGAAACCTGTCTTGTGGGTACCAGACTGGCCTCCACCATGTAAATCATTGAAATTTCAAGTGACAACTTGGTTTAAGTGTTAGAGGAAGGGTGTGCATGTGTGTGCAGCTGAGTGTTCCCAATATAAAAGTGATCTGAATCCCGCGTGACTTGTCTTATGCATCTGTTGATCATTAGTCGGATTCTCCAATACTTTCTCTTTCTGACCCCGTCTGTCTTCACACTCTTTGTTTTATTACTTTCCCATTGGCATCTGTTCTGTTCATATATGATACTTCCATCACTTTAATATATGGTGTCACATTTAAATATTTTCTCTGAATGTTTTTTCTCTATTTGCTCTTACTTCCTAATTTTTTCCATTTTCCTTCTGCTCTGTCCAAAGCCTCAAACTGTTGTAATGAATTTGAGGAAGGATTTGACCTAAAGTAATCAGGGAAACCGTACCAAAGAAAATATTTAATAACAGGTTTCTAAGAATTTTTGGCTGGCCACCAGTGGAATACAAACTCAAAGCCGCCTGACATAGGTAAACACACATAGAATGAAATGTGATACACAGGATGATTTTATAATTTCCCCTTTCACTTTCATTTGCTAGATATTTGGCGGAAAGCCGAGGTCATTTTCAATTTTCCACGTATAGGCTTTCAGAGGATATTATGACATAGTAACAGCTCTGCTCTCACAAATCTTTTTCTACCATAAAATACATTTGCCTGTGTGTGTGTGTGTGTATGTATGTGTGTGTCAAAGGCTCTCATCATAACACACACCACTGGTCACTGGAGTTTCCAATGACCAATAGTGTGTGTGCATACTGTACGTGTGGGTTGCATGCAACCTCATATAACCCTAGCACAGGCTGACTGTACTGGGATATTGAAAGAACATTGCCTGTGGTATACCAAAGATTGGCCAGAGCATTTGAAAGAAAAATTGTGAATTTTGAATCCAGAAATAACGAGCCGACATGTTAGAGATGTTCTTCCCTGTACCATGCTGGTGCTGTGTGCTTGTTTTACTTGCTCAGATCTCTGTTTTTTCTTTTTTCTCTTTATGTTTTTTGGTCTTGAAGTTGTTCATTGAGACCTTTATTTCCACTCTTTATGTTTTTTGGTCTTGAAGTTGTTCATTGAGACCTTTATTTCCACTCTTACATAGTTTACATTTAGTCTGCCAGCAGAAACAAGTGGTTTGTCTGACAGAGTATCCTATAAGATGTGTGAAAATATGCTAGCGTGTTAACATGTCAATGATGTTTCCCATTCTTTCTTCCATCTCACAAGTGTATGTCTAGCAAAAACAATACACAATGGATTGACTCCCAGTGTAAAACAGATGCATGATGGGAGATGTCTGTCAGGGTTCCCTCAGTGAACCCTACAGCATGTCAGTCTGGGGAGCCACACAGCAGCAAACCACTTCTCATGTCATGTGTTTAAGACTCATAAAATAGGCGGTGCCTTTCAGCACTGTAAATATGTGGCCAGGACGTCACCAAGCATTGGTTAGAGGAAAAACTGAGGGAGCAAACTTGTGAAAAAGTTATACACTGGTCAGGGAAGCCATACACATACACATGCGCATGCAAAGTTTGGCAGCAGTCTGCAACCACAAAGCTTGATGCCATCTGGAGGAGCTCTAAAAGGTATTGCCTTGCTTCCTCTCTTCTTCTTCCTGCTTTATACCCTTTCCTCCCAAAACTCCTCATTTAATTAGTTTTTCTTTTGCTTCTTCTTCATTAATTATTTTTTTTCCTTCCTCTTTGTCTTTCTCCCTCCATGTTTCTCTGCCGTGACTGATCAGCTTTCATGACCTTTATCCCCTCCTTCTTCTTTTCCACAAAAAATAAAAAGAAATAAACGTGAATCAAAGGCAAACAGTACCCATTGCAGTTAATTACATTATTCCTTCTCATTGCCATAGATTTCTCCTATACTACACAGCCTCCAGCCAGCACATCCACTCCATCCCTCAGATGGCAAACACATCAGACACCGTAAGATCTGCCCACACTGATAACCACTTCTATCTGCACCCTGTCTAAAGCTAAACACAACACACCTGTAAGATCTGACTGGGAACATAACATACTGTAATATGGAAAGACCCCACAGCTTATAAGGAATTTATCTCAAATAACTCTCTGATTTGAGAACTTCCTCTCTGGTTTTACTTTGACTGTCCTGCATTTAAAAGCAGCAAGTAAATCAGATCATATTAAGACAATAAGCCATATGGAGAACAGAACATAGGTTCAGCTGTTTGTGATTTATACAGCATGTGAAGGCGAAACTAAACCCATATGGGTGAATATTCAAGAGAGCGCAAGCAAGAGCTTCCATTTGACTTTTTCCCCTTCTTGATTAACCAGTAAACACAGCCGAACTAAGTGTAACACTTGCCAAGTGTTTAGACAAGGAATTATTAATCTCTAATTAAGGCCAACAAGCTGGAATAGGTTCGGCTACTGGAGCAATGTATGGG